TCTATTTCCTGCACAGGAATCCATGATTCAGAGCCGAAGCCGTGGCGAGTATTCCCGTCTATCTGGTGACTGTGCGGAGGCCCGCGANNCCCCCCCCCCCCCCTGGAACGTTGCTAACGTTGCAAAACAGAGGTCAGCGAAGCACAGCTGTGCCAATCTATCATTCAGTGTGTGCTTGACATCTTGCCGCTAGAGTTTGCTGGAGCCAGAAGTGTCGAGCCCTGATGCAACAGCTTTATGAAAATCTCGGAAGGATGCGCTGGTGGTCCTTGCAGGCCTGGCAAGACGACAGCTGCCAAGAGCTACCTGAAGTAAAGAGCTGGACGAATCGCTGCGACTTGTCCGTGCAACTCTTGACGCTGCACAAACTGAGTTGGGCCAAGATAAACGTGAAAGTGTGTGCAAGCACCCTGAATCTGCGTCATCATCTCCTGCGGCCCTGGTCAAAGGTGATGTGCGGACGAGGCAGTTCAAAGTCTTGGATCAGCTTGTACAGGAGATGGTCAGATGTCATGTAGCACCTGCAGAGGATCAAGATGTTGAACGGGGTATGTTAGCAGCCTTTACCTTTTGCTGTCCAAAGCAAAGTTTGACGTGTGTAACGGTCATTGTGGATTTGTGATTTCATGCAGCCCATGTTTCCGGACTTGCACCTGTCTTCACGCAAAATCGTTTGTGCCTGGAAGATGATGGTCTCTGCCAGGGACATCGATTAAAGTTTTTGCCTTTATGGCTGCAGCTCATGTTTTACAAACATCTCCAGCATGCCATTCCACGGAACAGTGGTTGCCGTTGTAGATTCCAGCCGCCATCGTGCTCGTTTCGGACAACTTAGACTGCAGCGTAGATCAACGATTCGTTCGGGATGTAGATTTGCTTTTTACTGGATGATTTGCTCAGACAGCATTTGCAATCCTTTTGCGAGGCTGTGCTTTGTTTGAGAATGCTCTGGGCTGTACCAGAGCAATGTGTGCTTTGATGGGACGACTACGTGCGTTGCATGAGCCCGCAACAATGTAAGGGAATGTAAGGGATATCGATGTCTGCGTGTGTTCTGTACCTCTTTGATTACCCAGTTCAAGAAAGCCTTGACCTGTGTTGAAGTCGTTTCGTGAGATGTCCCCTCTCAGTCCCGACGGCCTGCTCTCCCAGCCTTCAGTCCTTCGGTCCTTCAGTCAGAGTGCAGCGGACGAAGCCTGCCCAGAGAATTTTTTGTCATGAAGACTAGCGGAGCTAGACTTGAGTTTAGTCTGTCTTTGCAGAGCAGCAGACGTGGTCACATGGTCTAGAAAGCAATGGGTGATACAGTAGATGCTATCTGAATGGGAGTGGGCCTGGGTGGAATTGCTGGTTCACTGCTGTACGTGCTGCGATGCCATGCTATCAATAATATCATGCTTGACGGCTGCTTCAGGCCTTTCTGGTCCTGCATTGCCCCGCGACCCCGGCATGGTCATGGTACTGATAGCATTTTGCTTGATGGTGGCATCAAATTTCCCTCCTTTATCTCCATATGCTGCGTTGCACGAATCACATCATGCTTGTTGGTTGCACTTAAAAGATGAGAGCATCCCTGTTGATCCGCAAGTGCTAATTGTCCACCAGCAGCGACATATGCATTCAAATCTTCGTGCTCGGAGCAGAAGCTGCTATTTCGTATGCTGCAGCTTACCATTTTGGAAGCATCAGCCAGCGAGTGGCTCAATCAAGACCAACAAATGCTGTTGGCTGCAATTGCTGCAAATCCCGGTGAGGCAGCAACCTGTACAAGACTCTCGCAAAAGCTGGTTGGAGGACAGGTTCATTTCGATTGCAAGTAGCTGTGTGAGGTTCGAAGTGCCATCGTGGGACGTGAGATGCGAAACAATTTCTGCAGCCCACGTGGCAGGCACAGATAGCCGGTTGATACTGTCACTTTAAATGATTCAAAAGCATCTCTGCCAGTCTTCATTCCTTCCTCGAAAAAGGAACTTTTACATGCTGAGGGACTGTGTAGTGATTGTTGTAGCACAAAGGAGAATTTGCATTTGTGAGCTGTGTCCATTTGTGCCTATAGGAGAGTGACACGCCGCTCTGTGTAAGCGGCGCGCTCAAGATTAAGCATGACCCTGACAAAGTTCAAGATGGCCATTCCTGTGCTCGCGGACTTTGCGCGTTGGCCAAGGATATTTTTATGGCCGTTGCGCACTAAGGCCGTCAGATCTACTGTGCCAGACCTTGGCACACTGTCCATGGCTTAGGAGATTGCTGGCTCGGGCATCACAGCTGCTTGCAAATGGTGCAATGCCTCAGGCTTCTGTGCCAGGAGAGAGCCTTGCATCAATGCAGGGGGCTCAGAAGAGTCACAAGCAGCAAGGCATGCGATTTGCCACAGTTCGACGTCATGGCTGCATGTGCTTGGAACACTTTATCTTTGACATACCAGATTATGTGCTCCGGACCTTGTTTGAGTTGCTGTGCAGCCCAGGATCAAGGGTCTAGTTGAGTCTGACAGCTTCGGATATGCCAGGGGCCTGGACTTTGTGCAACAGCCAAAGGATCCTGAAAAAGATCCTAGTCGCGCAGCCTATGTGCAGTTGAGCAACGCAGTTCCGCGGATGCTTCGTCCCTCATTGATGCTTGCTAAATGCTTGTCGACATGCCAAAATGGCCACGCAAGCAAAGGCCATTACTGCGCTGGTCATGGTGAACGCAGTGCTCATTGGCTTCCAGACAGACTACACGGCTCGGTGGGGTTTGCAAGGGAGCATGGGCAGGCAGCAAAGCATAGCAGTTGTGGGTCTCCACGTGTGAGGAAAAGAACTTTGCAAAGAAAGCCATGTCACTTCATTTGGTACCAGTAGCTTGTTGACGGGTCCCCATTGCAGGGCCGGGGTTGAGGAGATGTTCTTTGCCTTGGCGTTGACATAGGGGCAGTCATCTCCCAAACTGAGGGTTTTCTATCTTGTAAGTACTTCGATGCTGCAGTAGTGACGTACTGCATCTTCGTGCAGGCTCAGCACGGAGGCGATGGAAAGATGCCACTTTCGAAGCTTTTGGGACGTATTTTCTGCTCCTTGGAACCGCTTTAGCTCTTAAGAGTTAGGAACTGGCCAAGGGAGCAGAGCAACACAGTAGTCAATTTGACTCGAGAACTTGCCAGGCATGCGTGCAAAATATTGTAGAGCGGGAAGACCTGCATTGGCAAGATGACCCACATATCTCGATTTTGATCCAGTTAGCCAGCCTGCGCCTGATTGTACAAAATACTCCAGCATGGACCCCAACTACCCTTTGCCAGCGTTGTTGATTCAAATTTCTGTGGAGCTGTTTCCTGATTGACTTGCAACTGAAAGAATACAATGATGTGAGGCACCCAGGTAGAAACATGTGTCAAGGTCACTCTTGTTTACCTTGCAGTTTCAGGGACGCAGTGACACGGAGAAACTCAAATGGAAGCGTACATCAAAACCACCTCCCTACTTCTCATCTAAAGGAATGCAGTGACATATGGACATTCAAATAAAGTCATGTGCTACGTGAGAACCAGCGTCTCTTCGTATTGCAAGCAAGATAGCGCAGCTCTCTGGTTTGTGATTTAGCTCGCGGCAGCTCTGGCATTGAGCTTTTGGCGGTTCCCGATAAGCTGCAGGTGTCTCCGACATTCGGCCTCTCTGATTCCGTTGTATCTCCGTCATCAACGTTCAACTTACCCTCAGCAATTTTCACAGTTGACCTTTTCGGTCTGCGATATGCATGTCACGCTGGCGCCGCAAAACAGCACAATTGTTTGGTATGCATGTCCTGTGCTCGTCACGTCATGACTCACGACACCATAATTTTTTTTTCCGAAAGCCCTGCACGTTTCTGCAACCAAGGCTGCATCTTCACTGCAGAGGTTGCCCTGAGGCCTTGATTCGCTCATATTCGCTCTGTGTTTCTCTGTGTCAAGCAGCAGTCTTCTCTTGCGGAGCGCCTGTGCGAGCATCATGCATGTATCTGTTGAACAGTATCAAAAGTCCATCCGCCCCAACAAGCATTGCATCGACATGTGAGATTTTGGGTTGCATCAGGCTCTGTGTAGTCAGATCCGTTGGGATGGAGCATGTTGATAGGAAGCGCTGCACAGAGTTTTTGTCGAAGATTTTGTTCGCTCCACGACGGGAGCGAACAGCGTTGTTCGGCAAGCTTCAGTGGTTCCGACCCTGGGACATTAACGCATGGATGTTCCCTCCCCGTCCTCATTTCCTGTTTAGCAAGCCTCTTCCGTCAAACTGCAGCGAAAGACTGGGGATCTTGCAGTCACCGCAGAGAGGCGAATCTGGCCGGCGCATGTCGTCTTGAAGCTGTCTTCTTACCAGCGAGAGTTGTGGTCTTAATGCTGCGATTATCTCTGCAGGCTCTTTGTGCATGGCTGCAGAGACTTCTTCACAGGCAGCGATTGGAGGCAGCTTTGACAGTATTAGGATTCCCCTTGACACACAGAAGAGCCGACGACATTACCTGCGATGCCAAGGAGTCATAACAAAGCGTAATAATGTTCAGCGCATCAATTTTTTCTGCTGCTGCAGGTGGAATATTTTCGACTTTTTGGTGGTTGGCCTGCAGTGGGCTGAGGAGGCACTTACCTCAGTCAGATGATAAGGGAGCGTGCCGCCCGGCCAACATACCTACTGATTTGTTGATCGGAGAAGCCAAGCCCACAATGGGCCGTTGCAGGCTGTTGATGCCATCTCAGCTGGTGCTGGCAAGGGTCATGACGGGCTCCCAGAGTGACTCTTGCCACCAGTCGCAGAACACATTCTCGCGGAAGTCCAAAGCTTGCCGAAAAAGTTTCTGGACGTTCTTTCATGCAGCCATCCTGGCCTGAGGTACTGAACCTGGGGTTCCTCCGCATTCTTAGAACGCTGCGTTGGGGCCTCGCATCGCAGAGGGTATGAGCAAATGGCTAGCCTTCCAAGCATCAATTTGCACATGTAACGGGTAGCCAGAGATTGGCATCCTGAGGCGTGGTTCGCATCATGCGCCTGGCTAGAGTTCTTCACCTGGTGGTTGAGCTGCGTGCCCTCCCGGCTTGAGAGTCCTGAGTCCATTGTGAGATGCGTCAGGCGTTTTTCGGACCAATGCCTACAAGAGGTATGCATCTGTGTGCAAAGCGAAGTTTGCCAGCAACGCTTGGGCAGAGACTAGGAAGCAGCCTCTGCAAGGTACCATGGTATCCTCCATCGTGGCATCTTTGAAGCCACTCTTTTGGGCCACCTTGCTGTTCTCGATGCTCATCTATGCAGTGGCTGTGGCCATGACCCAGATGGCTGACAGCTCAGTTTCTTTGGTTCTATTTGCCCGGGTGGACTTGGGGTGGTTGCTGCCGAAGCGATGCAGCCATCTGGATTTGTTGGCCTGTTTGAAGCCACGCCGCGACGAAAACAGCACTCCCCCAGACCGCTCTTCGGCCTTCGGCCTCCGGCCTCCTATTGACCGCTCCTGGCCACCGGTCCGCGCGTAACGCGGACCCGTATGCTCCATGTCGCGTGAGGGCCAAAGCCCTTCTAGACCTGAAGCCTGTGCATGCTCCATGCATGCTCTGTGCATTCATGGACTTATGCATGCGATGCCTAGGCCAACGAGTTTCGGGCGGAGAAAGGTGAAGTGGATACAGAATTGAACAGGCAGGGTCTTTGGGCTTAGACCACGATTACGCGTGTGCCCACGTGGGTGGCAGCACGTCTTGTCAGCAGTCTCGGGAGATTGGCCTATTGCTCCCACATTGTTGACAAGCGTAGGCAAAACACATCAGAACCCAGCAGTGCTCACGTCTGCAAGGTATTTCAGCAGCCTGGGCACCGCAGTCCTGGCACTATGGGAATGCATTTCTGGGGGCATGGACTGGCAGGAGGGCTTTCTCTTCAGTCTCATGCAGAAAACATTTGAGTTTAGACCAATGCAGTTTTTGGCATGTAGTTTTTGACCACCGGCCTCAGCTTTGGAAGGACTTGGCGCAACCGATGATTGAGGACATCTCCCCAATCATGGGCGTGGTTTTTTCTGCGTACGTGCCGGGCTGACTTCATGCTTCAGATGTGTGTCCTGTTCTCTGAGCATTCCGTCCGCAATGTGGCTCAAGGTTGCATTTTCCGTGCTGGCCATGATGAATGTCATTACAGGCTCGTGCTCATCCAAGTTGCTGAAACTGCGCTTTGCTTTGTAACTGATGAATGTTTAGTTGCTGTTAGTCCGTGTTGCTGGTCAAAAGATGTTACGAGCCACTGATGCCACAGGATGGGATTTTTACTCATCTGCGTTCATTTCTGGAGCACGAGTGTTGTCACTCCAGCCCAGCTCCAGCCATGACTTTGAGGCATCTTTGTGGACAATGCCAAGACTTATGCGCAGCAAGACAAGGTGTGACAACAGTGGGATTTTGCGTGAGTTGCACGCTAAGTCTGCTAAGGGCGCTCAGAGATGCATAGTCAGTTTCTAAGAAGATGTGGCGCCTCACTGTCAGGGAGACCTCAGAGAACAAATTATTCGATATCAACCCGCCCAATGCTTGAAGTCAGCCTTGCTCTCGTAGACATTAATAACTGGTCCACAGGCACATAATTTTCCATCGTTTTGTGCGTCTCATCTCTGCCACTGCCTGAATAGCAGAAGCACCCTGGTATTTAGTTCAGGTGTAGTAAGGAAAGATTGTCTGAATGCTTGACATCTTGACTTTGCAGCAGGACACGTACGTGGTGCGTCATGTCCTGAACCTCTTCAAGCAGAGTGACTTGAGCGAGTCCACGGCTATTGACTGGATCGTCACCTCCTTAGAAGGGCCAACGTTGCTCAGCTGTGGTGGTTCGGGGTGGAAATTGGACAAGGGAGGCCAGCGAGGAAAATCATGAACAGAAAGCCTGACAGAGCAAGATACCCATTTGGCTCTTCTTGCTGAGGATTTCCAGGCCAAGCTGGACACGCGAGAGCTGCAGGACAGAAAAGTGTAATGAACAGCGGGAGGAGCTTTTTTGTGGCTAAAGACGTTGGTCCTATCATCCCAGCTTCAAGGAAAGCAGAGTTGTGGCAAAACCGAACCTCTCCATCTCCTTCGTTTGGGTGACGTGAATCGTGAGGTTCAGGGTCAACAGAGCAGCATTCCGTGCATCCCTGGCTTCATCTCCAATCCCAGAGGCCCATGCATTTCCTTCGAAGTAACAAAATTACTGCCCGTCCCGTTCCGCACGTGTTTCCTCTGTCAACTTGGCTTCGCGTGTGCCAGGCGCAGCCTGACACCCCCCTTGAGAAAGCTGCAGCTCTTTTATGTCAAGACAGGTTTGGATCTGCAGCGCTCTGCTTCTGCTTGGTTCGGGCCGTCAATGCTTGGCATCTGTGCGCTGGACTTTGTATGTCCGGATCGGACTCTCTTCATAGGTCGGCCTGCGCCAAGGTGGATCCTTGAGTTCTGCTGACATCCAAAGACTTCTCGTCAGTGATTTCATTGGATCCTACACCACCTCCACTCTAACCCCCCTGTCCCAAACAAGGCTCAAAGAAGGCTTGAGCAGAGTCTTTTTCTTGGGGGTGGTTCAGGCCTTGATTGTGAGTCGGATCCCGAGGCGTAGGGTGGGGGTAGTATTGGATCATACCAGGAGATATATTCAGCTAGGAGTCATGAAGTCTGAAGAGGTGCAGCCCATGCATTCCAATGTTAAAGTTGTAGTACCAGGAGACAAGTTCAAATCAGGAACCGTGAGGTTGGGCTTGTCACCGGCTTAGGGAATAGTCCAAAAAAGTCTGAAAGCGACGTCTCCAGAAACATACTGAGCCAAAACAAGCCAACAACCGCAACTGATGGTTGGCGACGTAACCTGAGCAGTTGTCTGAATCAATGGCCGTGGCCAGGAGCTATTTGCTGCTGTGGAAGTTGATGTGCCAGCTGCCCAGACTATGTACCGGCTGGGCACATGTCTGCGCCGCTGCGACCAGCACACTGCCGCAGGTCGGGTGCTTCCGTGCCCAAATGATGGCAGGGAGAATGAGACAGAGAGAGCGATTTTTCTTTTAGGCATAGAGCGCCTTGCCTTGTCAAACGGAAACTAACGGCAAACACAGTGTCATGTGATGTTGGAGACCATGGTGACGATGAATGTTTTGAAGCTAGGGTCTGTTTGCGCTGGTGACCGTGATGACCGAAGTAGGACAGCATTGCATCTATTGGCTTTATAAGATATGGAATCATCAACGAAGGGGTCCGGGTCTCGCGAGCGCGCCATGGGGAAGCGAGGATCTGGATACGAATCACCCACAGCAAGAACATGAACCTCCTCTTTCCCGGCAACCGCTGCTCTCTGTGGATCAGCCCAGAGGAGTACACCAGGGATGCCTGAATAGCCCGGTCATTTTTGTTGGGGTCATGGCCAAAATGCTGCAGACGTCTGTGTCCTGACCATGCCCAGAGGTGTGCCAACCAGCGGAGGCGAAAAAGCCGAGGCGACAGGTAAATATTGGAGAAGTTATCCCACCATGCTCAGCTCCACACCATGGCCCGTGCTACATCTGAGAGTTTGAGTGGGACGCAAAGCACCTCCTACAAGCACTGCCGCCGAAACAGCTGGCGATGAAAGCAGGCTAGCCAGCAATGGTGGCCAACATTCCGGGGGTGAGGAAGATCAAGTTTGGCGGAAGATTTCCAAGTGGGAGATGAAAACACAGTGGTACCAGTGACTGGGGTTCCGTGGTTGCGCCTTTTCCAAGCTAATGTCGTGGTGGCCAACATGCAGACGAAGGCACGAAAAGCCTTCTATGCGAACAAGGAGATCCTGATGTCCAGACACTTGTCCTTGCTCAAGAAACACCAGTACGTCAAGCATTAGTTAGCCGCTCTATGGGGCGCAGGAACGTGGCCAGCTAACACCCGTGTCCTAAGTTTTCAGGGCATGTGACCCCGCGCAGTTTCAAAAACTTCGAGATATGAATTTTGAGAGAATAAGACCAGGAGAGACATGGGTTGAATGGAGCCAGCGCTCTCTGCCGATCACCCGTGCCCACCTCTACAAGCGCAATATCCCCTGGTGGAGCGCGATCGTTTTGCAACAGAATGCAACAGATATGGACTTTCCAAAGGGGAGGCGACCGGCAATGCTGGAAGAATTTTGAGTGGTGGGAGCAGCAGAATAACAACATGACCTGGATGCGGTGTCGCAAACGTTTCCCAACCCCATGCCGACGCTGAAAGGCACGTCGTGGCAGTGGCAGGCCAGCGATGGATGGAAGCTGCAGCCCATGAAGCCCAATGGTTGAGCTTGATGCCGTCATTTGTGGAAAAGTGGTCCCCGGTCCTAGCTCTGCAGAACAGAAAAAAACTCCAGAACCGCACGCTGGACAACAGGACGGAAGTGGCTTGGTTGCAGAGGCAGAGAATCCTTCCCAATGCATGTCACGCTTCAGGAATTACCTGTTGTGATGACGAAACTTTCCACGAACGTGCCAGGATGCGCGATGCTGCCTGGACATGACAATAATCTCACTTGCAGTTGGCGGCCAGTTCTCAGACGTGATGTTCACATCACGACGCCTGCGCAGTTTGTCGCCTCGAGTTGCTCGCAGCTGTTTCCGAGCCACGGCGATGGAACGAAGAGGAACCGAGAAATTCAAATGCCTCCTTGCCAGAATCATCTTCGTGCTGGGAATCACCGTGGTCACGCGCGCCACGAACCATGGGGGCCCCGGCTGACGAGATCATGGGAGCCAGACAAAAATGATGGAGACTCGAGATGTGCTCCTCGAGTTTCTTTTCAGGAAGACAGCAAACAAGAGGCAACGTCAACCCGTATCCCGGAAATGCTTCAGGGGGCAGCGTCACAGAACCCTGCGACGGCCATCCTCGCCCTGACCCTGGTGTGGGAGACCCGGAGTCCTTGACGTTGGAGGAGTGGACTCCTGTTAGGGTTACTTCTACGACAGCGCGCGAGCCGAGTGAAGGAGCAGTGCAACCTTACGCAGCTGCCCCTCAGGACCTTTTTGTCGCCGGTGTTCCAAGAATAGGAACCGCGCCTTCGCAGAATCTGCGGAATCCTGCGGCTGCAAGCAGAACACGAGAGACGGTGAATCGCAGTGGGCAACGAAGGAGAAGGACAACGTGATGTGCGTCAGTGGGCGCGCTTCTGCGCGTAGGTGCAATGAGAATCTCAACGCTGGATCCGCGCCTTTTGGTGGAGTGCCGCTGCCGGAGCCGGAGGAGATTGAAGAGGGCCAGGCGCTCTCCGCTTCCTAAGAGAGCCATCTATGCGAGCAGTTCCGGGCCAGATCACGCAAAAATCACGCGGAGCCCTTCACAGCCAGAAAACATGCGCAAGTGGAGGAAGCGGAGGCCTACCCAAAGCTGGAGGAGCCCGTGGAGCCCGCAGCAAACCTGGGAACCCATGCGTAGGCGTGGAATCGGCAGCCGCGGGGATGAATGATGCAATTTTGCAGGGTCATGCGCGAAGGTATGCTCTCCTGACACTCGCCGCCCTTCATCAGATCGAGTGTTTAGCTGAGATGTAGCGCGCGTCCTTAGGACGGATGGCAGCAAAGGCGCGAGATCACGCCTCGCTGCGAGAATCTCGTGAGGCTGTACTTCGGGGGTTTAAGCGGCATCTCCTTGACAAAGGTCATGACGAAACAGAGTGGGCCCTCATGGCCTCCGAATCGGATGTGGATGCCAGCTTTCGAAAATTCATGAACTGTGGGGTTGCTCGTGATGAAGCCTTGATTCAGGCTTGTGTTGGAGGGGTTCTGAAAGCGGGTAGACTTCTCCTGTGTGAAGTCTATGACAACTCTGGTCATCCACAGGGTGAAGCGGTCATTGAGTTCATCAAGGATGTGTCGGCCTCGGATGGCTTTATGGCTTTCGAGGCGAAGCACATTGTGGCGAGTGATGAGGGGTACCAGTCTTGGGCCAAGTTTCACTTGGCGGACACGTCCAAGGCCCTTTATCACAATTGCGGATGCCATGCCTGGGAGTGCGGGTGGACTAAACGGGGCAGGAAAGTGATTCACATCTCAAAGTGGCGCGTGACTTCACTTGAACAGCTATGCCTCATTGATTGGTCCAGTGCAATTGCCTTTGGCCTCTTGCGTGACAAGATTGTTAGGGCCCCAAAGAGTAATAAGCGAAAAGTCGGCAAGCAACCACCACAAGGAAGTCTGCCGGCACAGCCCCCCAAGGCCACGCTTGTAAGTGATGTGGAGAGAGCCGCGGAGACTCAAGCAGCGCAGATTCAGGATGCCTTGCGCAGTGGACGTCCAGGTCTTTTAGAAGACGCTGATCTTGATTTCAGTGCTCTGAGATGCCCCGAGCCAGAGGAACCCACTGAAAGGCCTGGTAAGCAACGCCGGCTGGGTGTGGAGCCGGTTGGGAAGCCCGGTTCCGCTCCCCAGAAGAATGTTCATCAGGTTTTAACCGCTACAGCCCGGGGCTGGGACGCCTCAAAGCGCAAAAATGTTCTCGAAGAGATTTCCAGTGATCTTGAGGAGATCAAAGGTGGCGTGGCGCATGGCCGTGAGAAACGGCAGGTCGAGCGCGGAAGAACGCGTGAGACCTCACACAAGAAACGGCGGCGCCACCGACGGCGGTCTTCATCAAGCAGTGCAAGCTCACACCGTTCCAGTGCTTCGTCCGTGTTGCCATGGTCGGGGAGAAGAGAGGCGGAGAGCTTAGCCGTAAGGTCCAAGGATACCTGGTGCTTTACTGAAGTCTGGCCTCCAGCAGATGCGGCAATTTTTGCTGGACAGTCCGGGAGGAGGTGTGACTCTTCAGAATTTGGGTGATACTTGGAAGGACACAAAAGTTGGTGCCTATGTGAGCCAAGTCCTGTTTGTGAACCATCCCCCTGAGCAACTGGGATTGAGAAACTCCCGCGAGATTATCACCTTGTCCACTTGTTTGGATTTGTTGCTTACAGGTCAGCTTGCCCGGCTTGGGGACGTGCTTATCCAACGCCTGAAAGCCGTTGAGTCTTCGGTGACCGAAGGTTGGGCTGTTGCAAAGCACTATGATCTTACCAACCAGAACAAAAATAACCAGCTCATGCAAGATCATGGTGCTCCAACTTCACGCAGCAACTATGACGACTCTTGTCTCCAGTGCTGCGAGCGAGAGAGAGAGAGAGAGAGAGAGACACACACACAGCGAGAGAGAGACATGGACCCGGACCCCCAGCATCCCAAGCAAATTAAAATACCATTTGTGGGAATATACACGGCTCGTTGTTGTCGTATATGTTCTGGGCTACAGCTGCTGCCTGTGAGCATGTGCACGACCAACGTACCTTAAAACCTCAGCTGTATATAGGAACATAACCGGCCAGATCAACAATGCAGTTTTATAAACTCCTGAGCTGAGATGCTCAGGGAATGGATCTGTGGATAGTCCGCAGCAATGTTTCAAAATCAGCTCCTACTTGAATTGAACACGGGCAAGTGAGATTAATTCAAACATCGCTTTGGGTACTAGTCGTTTCGCGGCCTTCACTTCGATCAGGGAAGGCAATAATTACATATATATATATATACATATTATATAAGCGTAATATGGGATTATGCTGCTCGTGCTGCTTTGAAAGTTGCAAAGCTGCGAGAAACATTGTTGAAAACACAGCGCGGTCAAACCTCGGGCTAGGGAACAGGCGGCCAGGCTTCTCCGTCATTGCGGGGGAGGCTGGTGACGCCGTTTCCGCAACAAACCATGGGTGCGTCTCAGACTCAAGCAATGTTTTCATTTCCGCCAACTCCCGCAGCTCCGAGCTCGAACCAGACGGAGCCGCCGGCGTCAGCTGGGCGAAGTCAGCCCACTGCGTCGGAAGTGGAGATGTGGCAGCGAAAGCCGCCGATCCGCCGGCGTGCGGCAAACTGGAAGCAACACCAAAAGTTCGTGAAGCAAGGCTGGGAA